TAGTCTAGAGGAGAAAACGGCCGCTGTGACGTCTGTTCCCCCAGTGTGCCAGGTCCCCTCCCTGCAGGGCTCACCCCAGCCTCTTGAGGACCACTTTCCCAGTGACATTTCCTTCTCACCCTTTTCAGGAAACTCTCCAAGGTACTGAACTTCTACGTGGCTAATGCAGACGACTCCAGCAAGACAGAGTTGCTTTTTGCTGCTTTGAAAGCCTTAAAGTACTTGTTTAGATTCATCATCCAATCTAGAGTGCTCTACTTGAGGTAATGGTCACTGCAATAAGGTGTTGACGCTGTCCATTCCCCATGTAGTTTTCCTTCATCCTCGTGCTCATGCTCAGCGCTGCGAGCTCTGGGTCATGGAGTTGCCAAATTTCAGAACTTCACGGCTGAAGATGGAGGTGGACTATGAAACCACCAGAGAAGGTCCATGGGAAGTCCGTTTGGATCAGTAGAATTTCTAGGGCAGTAATGACTGAAGGACGTAGGGATGCCGGTGGCTAACATGTGCAGTTTGCTGGAAGCCTTGTTGGTGACAGCAGCTCTAGGGAGGAAAGAGTGTATTTAGCACAGCAGGGGGCTTCATGGCAGTGCTGGGTGTAAAATCTAGGACCATGGCTGTTGGTGGTGGTAGAGGGAGAATGGTGGCAGTTGTTTGGGGCGATGTTTCCTGGGATGTGTGTTTCTTTGCTGACACCTTGCTTAGCTCCCTGGTGAAACAGCCACAGAGATGAGATAATTTCCAGTTTGGATTCCTGGAATAACGGCTCCTTCAGAAAGAGAAGAAATCAGGAAAAAGGAAGTACCTTTTCTGGGAATGCTTGCAATGCGGTGCGTCCCTGACCTTCAGTAATTGTAGCTGGATTTCCAAACGGTTAAATATATCTGTAAGGCAGAAGGAAGGGGTCTGCAGACTGGAGCATGTATGTTTTAAAAAGTTGTATATTTAAAACCTATAAACAAAGGTAAACAAGTTACCTGAAAAAGAAAAAAAGCTTGTAACATATAGTACAGATCAAAGGTGAATAGTTTTACTGATTAAAGGCTCTTATGAATCAAGAAATGATTGACATATCTCTAAACAATAGAAAACAAGTTACAAAAGAAAAATTTAAGTGGTTGATTTTTTTTTTAATCCTCACCTGAGGATATTTTTTCTATTGCTTTTTAGAGAGAGTAGAAGGAAGGGAGGGAGGAAAGGAAAGAGGGAGGGAGGGAGGGAGGGAGGGAGTGGGGAGAGAGAGAGAGAGAGAGAGAATATGCCACATTCGTCCAGTAATACTTATTGATGCGGATGAACCAGCCTTTCAGTTGGTGGGCACGTCTTGAAGACTTCAGAGCACTTTAATCACACAAGCATGCATCAGTAAAGACTAAGGTGTCCTGTGTCCGGGAAGACCCCTCTTGGAGAGGAACCAGCATGGCCAGTTCAATGGACAGAGTGACACTAACTGGACTGGCAGACGGGCTGGGTTCAGATGTTTCTGGGGTGAGGGGCTTTTCTACCCATTGTCTGAAACTTCAGCTCAAAAGGCCAGGACTTGGTTAGATGAGACAAAATGATTAGAGTGACACAGAGAGGAGGAGGCAGGAGGGGGGGAGTGATGCTGAAGAGTAGAGCATAGCAGGTGTGCTGTGTAGGGCACTTAGCTGGGCCTCCTGAGCTTACTGGGCATCCTGCTCCTGAGCTGAGGAAGGCAGGTGAGCATGCTGGACTCATCGGCCACTCCAGGCCAAGCAGCTTCCTGTGTTCTCTCCGTGCTGACAGTGCCCCGAGACCACCAGCAAGAGGCCATCAACAAGGTGGTCTTCCGACAGCATGCGGCATCCCTTCTGACGGGCTGGCCATAGTGGACCGGCTGAGAGCTCTGTGGTAGGATGGTCCATACATACAAATGACCTCCCTGATGGTCATAGCAGGTGGTGATAACTTCTCAGGCCACTGGGTTTCTCCCCAAAACTATCTCAGAGCAGCTACAACTTCTCTTTGTACAATTCCAAGTGGTGACCAAGGGAGGCATGGGTCTCCACCGTTGTTTAGGCAACAGATATATCTCAAAATTTCTTTTAAAGATGGAAAATCTCACTGCTTTTCTCTTTTTCTGATTAAGATTTTATGGCCAAAGTGAAGATGGAGATGAATTTAATAACTCAATCCGCCAGTTATTTCTCGCTTTCAATACACTAATGGACAGGCCTCTGGAGGAAGCTGTGAAGATCAAGGTCAGGATGGCTTTGTGGGGACCCCAACACTGTCAGTGAGGATGGCCTGGGTCAGCATAGAACCTAGTCTCAGCGGGGGAAACTAGTTCTTGTAAATTTTAGTGAGAGCTTGTGAATTTTAGTATGACTTACATCAGTGAGGATGGCCTGGGTCAACATAGAACCTAGTCTCAGCGGGGGGGAAACTAGTTCTTGTGAATTTTAGTGAGAGCTTGTGAATTTTAGTATGACTTACAGAAAGTACAGGGGAAAACCTGTTACATTTATTGCACTTTTGTATTCTCAAGGGCCAGTTTGCCAGAAACAAGCTGCCCTTTTAGAAATCCCTTGAATGACTGGTGTGGCCCCTGGGAATTTAGCCCTGGATTCTGATGTTAAAGGCGGAAGGTTTTTATTTTTAGTTCTCTTGGTCTTTCCGCAAGCCCAGGGTCACCATCGTTTTCATCATTGTCACCTTTTTTAATGTAAAATAGGTAATCTCTAAAGACTCACTTTTGAACTTTATTATTTCCTCTTTGCTCATTAAGGCAAAGTTGTGAGGGAGAGGTCAAGGTTTTAACTACCTCTTGGATGCAAACATGAATCCCAAATGGGCAGAGCCTGTCCGCAGTGCAGACAGAAAGCTGTGCCCCCTGACTTTCCAGGAAGAAAAGATCTGAGGAGGCTGTGTGTCACATCAGCATTCCTCTTCATTGCAAGAACACCTGTGCCCAGTTCCCCGTTTCAGAGCCGAGCCTTCTGGTCCTGGGCTGAAGCAGTGAAGTCTGTGTTTGTCCTGCTTGGCAACTGACGCTGCCGGTGGTGTTTCCTTACAGGGCGCAGCTCTGAAGTACCTTCCTAGCATAATTAACGACGTCAAACTGGTGTTCGATCCTGTTGAGCTCAGGTAAATTGCAAAAAGCATATTCACTGAACCATTTTGTGCTCATTTCTGGGAACACTCAAGAGAAGCCACAAAGCCTGCTTCTGAAGAGGTTTGCATGTTGTCAAGGGAAATGGGACGCGCAGACCTAAAATTAACTGCGGAAGAAAGTACATAATAACATGCTTCCAGCCCTGTACCTAAGTATCCCAGGATTGCTAAGTCAGATGACAGTGGGCACTGGGGCGGAGTTAGCAAAAAGGGATTCTGCAGAAGTTGAGTGTTAAGGCAGGTCTGAAAGCGGTTATGGCCCTGGGGGTACTTGGGAAGTTTAAGCAGAGTTAGCTCTAAGGCTGAGCCCTGTAGTGAGCAAGGAATATAGTCTCTCCTTTGCTTCCTCAAGACAGACTCTCAGGTCGTTTGGGAGAGATTTCCAGGTGAACCTCAGAGCAGAGGGGAACTGGGTAAGGGCACCTTGAACTTGGCGCCATGGAAACGCTAACCACGGGCTTCTCTTCCAGCTTGCTCTTCTGCAAGTTCATTCAGAGCATCCCTGACAACCAGTTAGTTCGCCAGAAGCTGAACTGCATGAGCAAGATCGTAGAGAGTAATCTTTTTCGGCAGTCGGGTAAGTCTCCACCAAAGCCAGCTGCCTGTTGAAATCCTGCTCTTGCTTCTGCAGCCAACACTGGCCCCCTGTTAAGTGCCACTGATGTCCTTGCCAGTTGTTTGCTGGCACTTAACCTCCTGGGAAACCAGCTTTAAGGAGAAGGTGAAGTCAGTTCGGTATCTGCAATAGTTTCTAAAAGAGCCAAACCCTGTGCTCCTTAATTAGAACAGTCAAGTGTTACATTAATTAGGGAGCTTTGTCTGCAAAATAGGAACCCCAGCAAGTAACAAGCAAGCAGGAAAGATAGCCCTTTTAAATAAATGCTGCTTCTTTGGACCATATGTAGCATATCCTTGAAAACTAAGGCAAGGCAAGGGTCAACTAGTTGATTAGTTTCATGGCTTTGCTTTCAAGTATTAAGTTGGCAATTTAAAAATATGGCGCATCTCGCCCAGCACTACTTATTATGTGCATCTAGTCCTAGCTCCATGTCACATGAATAGCTAAAAATCAACCGTGGTGGAAGTATTTACACCATGGAAATTGGCAAACACTATAAATCAAAGGGGTGATTTTTTTGGGAGGGGGATTACTAGCAAACTGCTGGGAGGGGAGGAGGGAGGAGAAAGAAAACACTTTCACTGGTAAAATACTATTCATTTTTTGGAGAGTCAGGCATGTAGCCACTAAGTCTAAATCACTGTGCTCCTGACCCAAAGCTGATATGGGGAAGAGGTCCGATAGCAAGTCTTTCCCCCAATAAACCCCAAACTGGCTAGAGTGGGCAGCTGTGGGAACTTCTTTTGCATCTTCCAGCAGGTCAGGAAGTCCTGAGGGTGACCTCCTGTTATTTGTGTTGCCTGGGGGAGGCGAGTGAGACCAGCAGGACTCCTCAGAAAGAGGAGGGTTGAGTGAGTCATGGTGATAGAACCATCCTGGCCTTGCCTCTGGCCGGTCATGTGACTTTAAGTTTCCACTTCTGTTTCTGTGGAACGGAGGACTTGAACTAGATCGAATGAGAAACCTCTGACTCTGATGGTTTGTGACCCTATGAATTTGTGCTTAGAGATTTCACCTTTTGCAAGGACACAGTTGGAAGTAGTACAAAAAACTAGTGAGTGTTCTGCAGTAGAAAATGTAATATTACTAAACATCTTGGTATGCCTCTGCCTCTGAGGATGCAGAGGCAGAAAGGATAAAAGCCAGTAAAGGTGGCCGTTTGCGCCCTGGAGCAAGCATGCCCTATTTGGGTTCATTTAGGGGAAGTATTCTCACTGTTGACCGTCACTGTGTGAGTGTGAGTATCGGGATATCTAGACTCGCCATATAATGTTTTACGAGGTGAAGATTCCAAAAGGAAGATGCAGGCTCTACTCTGTGAAGCCCATGTGCCTGTGAAAACGTGGACAGAATGTCCGTGAGGCACATTACAGTGTCGTAGTGAAGCTGGGTAGTTATAAGAATTTTAGAGTAAATTTTTTCAGTTAGGTAGAAAATGTCAAAACAAAATTATTTTACTTTTACTTTTTCTTTCTATTTTTCACATTTTTTTCAACTATAGTTTACATTCAATATTACTTGGTATTAGTTCCAGGTGTACAGCATAGTGGTTAGACAATCACATGCTGTACAAAGTGATCCCCCTGATATTTCCCGTGCCCACCTGGCCCCATACATAGTGATTACAGTGTTACTGACGACATTCCCGGTGCTGTCCTTTATATCCCCATGGCTGTTTTGTAACTACAATCAGTGCTTCTCAATCCCTTCACCTGTTTCACCCAGGTACCCACTCCCTCCCCGCTGGCAGCCATCAGTCTGTTCTCTGTATCTATGTCTGTCTCTGTCAAAACAAAATTTCTAACTGTATAACTTGCTTAGTTTATTAGTTTCATATGGCTTTGCTTTCAAGTATCAAGTTGGCAATTTTTAAAAGTGGCTAAAGAAATTGTTAAATACTTTAAGCATTGTGTTACAATTACCTATGATTGGTACAATTTTCTGAGTTTTAAAAATCGAGTTTCAGGACTGAAGTTCCTAAACTCAGGTGCTCCTGAGGGATCCAGCGCTGCGGGGCGGAGTCCAGCGGGGCTGGGGAACAGGCAGGTGGTGCAGGGGGCAGCGGCGTTCAGCAGGTGGCCCTGCCCTGCAGCGGTGCTGTCTCATCTTCTGTCTCAGAGTGCAGAGACGTGCTCCTGCCGCTGCTCACAGACCAGCTCAGCGGCCAGTTAGACGACAACTCCAGCAAGCCTGACCATGAGGCCAGCTCGCAGCTTCTGAGCAGCATCCTGGAAGTGCTGGACAGGAAAGATGTGGTGAGTCGAATGGCCACTGATGTGGACCGCAGCACACACTGGTCCCGTTGCCGCGGGCGAGGATGACGCTGTGGTGGCCTTCTGGGTCCCAGGGCTTGGCCCGGGCAGTTGAGAATCTGGGTACTGGGCAGGCCGCCCCCATTTTGGAAATGGTTAGAGAGGCTTGTCCTGGCTGGAGCCTGCTCTGCAAGTCTTGGCCAGGAGAGTCCGCTTGCCGCTGGGGCCGGCACTGCCCGCTTCTCCTGCTTGTCCTCGGTGAGACCCTGTGAGCACCTGTCAGAACCAGAGGCCTGTTTACACGTTGCTTTTTACGCAGAAACCTTGGCCTTCTTTACCTCTGGTACCTGACCACACCATTGTAGATGTTCCTGAGATTCTTGGAAGTTCTCATTTTCACAGTGTCTCTGACGCCGATCCTTCGGAGCCTCAAGGAAATTACATGTTTTCTTATCTGGCCTCGTCTCTATGATGTAGGCACCTGTCTGGGGCGGAATCAGCCTGGATTTGCGATGTCCCAGACTAGCACAGCCCACAGCCGAGGCGTAGCCTCCACTCAGGAGGCTGGAAAACCTTGCAGATTGTGTTCAGTTTAGCACTAACCATGGTCACCACCTCCCACGATGACTGCATGGCATTAACTTACAGAGCAGGGAAATCACTGTTGGTTTTGCCTAAGCCCGTTCTCTTACCGATATCTTTAGATTCAGTTCTGCTGAGGGATAGGAGAAACGCTGCCCTTTCCCCATAGGTAGATCCTGTGTTCACCTCTCAGCATCCACCCCAGTTTGGCCACAGCCTGACTTGTCTCCTGCTGGCCATGACATGGGCATGCCTGCATTTTTGAGAGTTCACACCTCCGTCACAGAGGGACAGCAGGACACACTGCTATGTACCTGCTGTCTCTTCTTTCCCTGAGCCCCAATTTTTACTATAAATATTTTTAGTATTAATTATAGATTATCCTCACCACCCCCCCTTTTTTTTTGCTTAAATGTATTCTTAGAAACCACATTATAAAATGGAGTAACTTTCCCATAAGGAATTTTGTGATTAAGGACTTGATTCTAACCAAGGACTTTGTGACAAATAAATAAATGTGATTACTCATGTCATAATAACAATAACATTTTTAAACTGTAACTCTTTACAACTCAGTAATTAAAAAACTAAAATGAAGCTCAAAACCCCATAAAGTTGGCAACAGTGTGCTAGGCACTCTGGCCTAGTGAGGGCTACGGTCTCTAAAAGCATTTACGTAAATGAGCCTAAACTAGTCTGAGACACAGGAATTGAGCAGTGCTGGGCTTCTAGTCCCAGTATTACCAGCTCTTTATCCTTTGGCAATCTCATGGTGCCCACTTTGCCATTCAATAATATGTCGGAATTGTTCTAGATGACTTCTTAGGCTTCTTCTACTTCTGATCCTGTTATTTTTGTTTTTTAAAAAATATATATAATATCTCTGTCTACCTTCTTACTACAGAGAATGATTCTTCAGAAATGACTTAGCACTCTGGCCTAATGAGGGCTACGGTCTCTAAAAGCATTTACATAAATGAGCCTAAACTAGTCTGAGACACAGGAATTGGGCAGTGCTGGGTTTCTAGTCCCAGTATTACCAGCTCTTTATCCTTTGGTAATTTCATGGTTCCCACTTTGCCATTCAATAATATGTCGGAATTGTTCGAGATGACTTCTTTAGGCTTCTTCTACTTCTGATCCTGTTATTGTTGTTTTTTTAAAAATATATATAATATCTCTGTCTACCTTCTTACTACAGAGAATGATTCTTCAGAAATGACTTAAAAATTATTTTTTTTAACTGGCTTAAAAATTATTTTTCCCTTCCCTATAATGTTTCCTGTAATGAGCATAGGCATTCTAAATTATTGACCTATAAACTCTGTTTTCAATCATTTTTGTTGGTGGTGATGGTATGTTGCTTTTTTCCCCCCACCATAAGCATTTAAAAATGTACAAGCTAACTTCCTGTGTCTTCCCGTATTCTCTCATCTCCTCAGCTAATTCCTGGCTCTACTTACTGGCACTGATTCCTAGGCCTCTTTTATAGTCCAGGATTCCCTCCTCCTTCCCAAAGCTTTATCTCCTCCTTGTCCTTATTCTTCAAAGTCCAGCTGCAATAAACACCTCCAAGAAGTTGTTCCTGGCACAATCCTGCCCGAACTCCCACACTCTACTAGTTCCCTTCTGCCTCCTTATGTCTTTTTTAAGAGTATTATCCTTTTGTACCTTGAGCTATGAATTCGGTTCACAAACACTTATTAAGCCGCCCCCATGCTCCAGGCCCTGCGATAGGTCTAAGGATGCCTGAGAGAACAAGAGAAGCAAGTGCCCTGCCCTCCTGGAGCTGACCTCGGGCATCTCTGTGCTTTGGTTATTCATACTCATGCCCCAGCTCTCCTGCTGGAGGGCAAATCTCTTAAGGGCTCAGGGGATGCTGTTCATTCCTCCACACAAGGCCCTTTGACGACTTACACACCTCATCAGGGCTAGAGTATGGAAATGTTACGTAATTGGAGGTGAAAGTAGCATCACCAGGACAGGCAGGGGACTTCTTGTTGTTATTGTTTTAATTTTTAATTGATTTTAGAGATGATAAGAGAGAAAGAGAGAAACATCGATCAGTTGCCTCCCACATGCACCCAGGCCAGGGATTGAACTTGCAACCTGGGTATGTGCCCTGACTGGAATCGAACCCACCACCTTTTGATGTACAGGACGATGCTCCAACTAACTGAGCTGCCCCACCAGGGCAAGAGGCAGGTTTTATGAATCACTTTCATTCAAAGAAATGGGAAGCAAACAAATAAGTAATAAAAAGCAAGGAAGGAAAGAAGTGAGGGAGAGGGGAATCTAACAATACTTGATGTTTTAATAAAACTACATTCGGCAATGATTTAGTTATTTGAAACATTAACCAGGAGTTTCAAAATATATATCATGAAGCAAGAATGGGTAAAGGCTTTGAAAAGTCAGGTTGAATATTGATAAGTTGAAGTTGAATGAGTGTAACACTAAATCACTCCCCCCCACCCCCAAATAAATCAAAAACAGAAAGAAGGAAAAATAAAAAATGAGTTGGGCAGATGCACACAGTAATGAGGCATTTTTGTGTTCATCTGCCTAACTAATCCCTGTAAGGGAACCTTTTTATTTGCAGCTATGAAAAACTGAAGCTCAACAAGGTTAAATAATTGCTCAAAGTCACACCTGACAGAATCAAACTGTTAAATTCCTATGTTAGTCTGCTTGGGCTGTCCAGACAAACAACACAATAAAAAAATGAGCAGAGGACCTGAATAGACACTTCTCCAAAGAGGACATACAGGTGGCCAAGAGACATATGAAAAAAGTTAAATGTTTTCATCATCAGAGTGATGCAAATTAAAACCATAATGAGATATCACCTCACACCTGTCGGAAATGGCTTTTATCAATAAATCAACAAACAAGTGCAGGCAAAGATATGGAGAAAAGGAAACCCTCATGTGCTGTTGGTGGGAATGCAGACCGGTACAGCCACTGTGGAAAACAGTATGGAGTTACCTCAAAAAATTAAAAATGGAACTGCCTATGACCTACTTATTCCACTTCTGGGAATATATCCTAAGAAACCTGAAACACTAATTCAAAAGAATATATGCACCCTGTGTTCATTGCAGTGTTATTTACAATAGCCAAGATTTGGAAGTAGCTCAAGTGCCCATCAGTAGATGAGTGGATAAAAAAGCTATGGTACATCTACACAATGGACTACTATGTGGACATAAAAAAGAAGGAAATCTTACCTTTTGCAACAGCATGGATGGGCCTGGAGAGTATTCTGCTAAGTGAAAAAAGCCAGTCAGTAAAAGACAAATATCATTTTATTTCACTTACATGTGGAATCTGATGAACATAATAAACAAAATAGAAACAGCCTCATAGATACATAAAATAGACTGACAGCTGTCAGAGGGGAGGGAGGTTGGGGGCGCTGAATGAAAAAGGTGAAGGATTAAGATAAAAACAAAAAACTCACAGACACAGACAACACTGTGGTGATTACCAGAGGGAAAGGGGGGTGGGGAGGGTCAGAAGAGGGTAAATGATGATGGAAGGAGACTTGACTTGGGTGGTGAGCACACAATACAATATACAGATGATGTATTACAGAACTGTACACTTGAAACCTATATAATTTTATTAGCCATGTCACCCCAATGGATTCAATAACCATTTTTTGAAGAAGTCAGTCCTCATTTAATGTCATTGATAGATTCTGTGACTTTAAGTGAAACCACGTATAATGAGACGTTTTACCATGGGCTACTTAAGGTAAACAGAGTTAAGTTTCTGTGACATCTCATCAACATCATAATGCAATGACATTATTTGAGAACCTGCGGTACCATAGACTAGGCTGGAGGCTGGAGGCCCAAGGTCAAGGTGCGGGCATGGTGGGGTTTGCCTGAGGGCTGTCCTCCGAGCTCACAGGTGGCTCGTTCGCACACGGCCTTTCCTTGGTGTGCGTGAGTCCAGGGAGAGAAAAGGCAAACTCTCTTAGTCTCTGACATGGACACTAATCCCATCAGACCCAGGGCCTTGCCTTCATGACCGAATGCCCCCAAAGTCCCCATGGCCAAAAGCCATCACAGTACTGGTTCGAGCTTCAACACAGGAATTTTGAACACATCTCCTTGACTTGCATTTCTCGGGGATTTTCCTCCTACTGCGAACTTTGTATTATTGCCTTTCACTTCCCGGGCATGTGTCTAATTGTCCTGGGCAACCTGACCTGCTCAGAATCGGGACCAAGGACCTCGTGCCAATGCTGTCCTCCCAAAACTGTGCAGAGTCCATGGCCACAATGAGCTCCCCCGGGACCCAGCGGTCTGGACTGTCAGGGCGGCCTTCCCCCGCAACCCCATACTCCTCTTCAGAATGTTACAGCTGATGACTTTCAACTGAGTCTTTAGTGTCAACATTATGTATTTTTCTGTGCAACCCTGTTTTCCTTTTGGATGAGAGGTTGCTTGGGAGGGAGGATCCAGAAACCACCTCTTCAAGGTTTCCCGCAGAAAAGTGCCCTGAGTCAGAAGGGGTGTGCCTGTCTGTCTCCCCAGGGCCCCACGGCCATGCACATACAGCTGATCATGGAGCGGCTGCTGAGGAGGATCAATCGGACCGTGATCGCGATGAACCGGCAGTCTCCACACGTGGTGAGTATCGCTTCAGGGGCCCCCTGCTGCTGCCGCCTCAGCGTCCCACCTGCCTTAATGTGAGGTCTGGGACCAGCGTCCTGGACCAGACTCAGGCTCCGCCCAGCCCCGTGTGCTGCCCGCCCAGCCCCATGTGCATCTGTGCCTGCACACACTGTGGCTTGGGCGTGAGGGGTCTGGAACTTTCCAGCCTCCCCTGATGGGATGGGTGGCGTGTTACCACTGCAAGCAGATCTTAACTCTGACTGGTTTTCTCTTGTGGGAAGACGACCCGACAGGGTGGGAAGGTTAAGGGGAGCGTTTTTAAGGGTTCCCTAAATATAAGGCATGCCAGTCCATTCCTGAGGAGTCTTGCTCAGGTTGAAGGTTAAACAAAAGCCTGGTCTAATACATTAAAGCGGAGACCCACCAAGATCCACCAAGACGTGCGGGCACCCTAGGGAGACTGATAACGCTGTTTCTGTTGGACCGAATATTCTGAGTATTTAATATTTTATTCAAGGAAAATCTGAGTCTTTGTGAGCAGAAAACGAGGGGTTTTGGTAGCTGCCTTCAGCATTTCCTCTACCATCTCAAGTAATTTAGTTCTGACTCTGTTTCTGCAGGCTCTGTCTGGATCCTCCTCCTTAGACCCATAATAGTGACAGCTCCCAGCTGTAGTGCTGATAATAGAAGTCATTAGCCAGTTATTTGTGTGTTCCAGAAACTGTCTTAAGTGCTTTATAATTCAGCGAAAGCTTGCACCCATCCTGCTAGGAAGCTCTTTCATTAGCTCCATTTTTCAAATGAGGAAACATGCCAAGAGTGGTTAAGAAACCTGGTGAGGTTACATACATGCCAGAGGGTTGAAGTGGGGTTGGGACCAGGCAGCCATCCTGGCTCAGAGCCTGGGCATGTTGTCAGCCAGCCCCGTCCCCAGCAGCTTTTACCAAGTTGTTTCCAGCTGTGTCCTATGGGTGCCCGGGAAGAACTCGGGTCAGTTCAGTTTCCCCCTTGCATCTGGTTCCACTGATGTTCAGTGTGCTTATAGATCGGCACCTTGTTCAGAGAAAAAAACAAACAAACATTTTCAAGAACCTGTGATTAAGGTGCTTTTAGAAGTGCCTGTGTTGCTCTGGCGTCTCATTCTCCATCTACTTTGTCTAGTAGATGTCAGAAAATATGACTGAAACCACAGGTAACTATTGAAAGCCAAGTTGTATCATTATAAAAGCAAAGCATTTTTTATTTGTGATATTAAAAGATATAATTAGATTTTCACTAGCGGACATAGTAAGAAAGGTATCCCAAATTGCTGTAGTAAATAAAAACCATTTATTTAGTCAACGAATATGTATTAAGGAGCTGCTGTATGCCAGGTGCTCTTCTAGACACTGGAGATATATCAGGGACAGAACAGACAGAAACCACAACCTTAGCAGAGCTTCCCATCTAGTAGTACAGCAACAACAAATAATACAAATAACAAATAATGTTAGAAGGAGGAGATAAGTGCTCTGGAGAAAAAAAAATGTGCGGGATAAGGGTGGGAGAACTTAAACAAGATGGTTAAGAATGGCTCTCCTGAGAAGGTAGAATTTGGACAAAGACTTGGAGAAGGTGAGGGAGTGTGGGTGTGTGGGAAAAGGCCTTCCGGCGAAGGCAGAAATCCTAAGAGGTCCCTCATAGATCTCCATACAGGTGCTGGAGCCAATCCAAATAAGAATGTAGAGAAATGCCTGAAGCAAAACATTGTCTTTCTGCTAGATCAAAACTCAGGATGATCCAAAGCTTATTATAAAAGGATTCAGTTCTTGTATTAAAGGTATAGCTACTGGCTGGACACACCATTAATGCCACACCATTGCTGCCATTATGTAAAGAATATTTAAAGAAAGGCAGGTTGGTAACTATGCTGTTTAGGACATGATATATTGATACACATAATGATATAGGTAATACTTAGTATGTCTGAATTTAAAGTTACCTATTCAGCTCCTGTTAGTAGAATCATCCATTACCCCTCTTATTGTTTAACTCAGGGATGTTGGCTCAGTATGTTTGAAGGGAAGGATGAGGATGTGAATGTGAAAGTGGCTGAACTGCTGCCATGTTTCTGTTAAAGCAAGATGATGGCTGTGGACATGGCTGAGATGCATGAGTGACAGAGGGTCCGAGCGAGCACAGCGAGAATGCTTGAGAAAGATAAACATAAGACGGAGAAAGCGAGGGAAAGACATACAAAGTGGCAAAGACACAAAAAGAAAAAATTTCATAACTATATAGATGGCTTAATAAAGTTCTGGGTATTCAAGAATAGTTAAATATTAGAGGGTTCATTAATAAAATATATCAATTCAATAAAAGGAAAAATGCTTCATGACTCCAAAGATGCCAAATTAAATGTGATATTCCAAATTAAGAATAGGAGTGTTTTTAACATGCAGTCACCAGACACACATTAGGTAATGGCCATAAAAAGGAGAATTAAAATATTAAATCTCAACATTGTTGAGATTTTTCTATAAGTTCTAGCCAATGTAATAAGACCAAAAAAAAATACTCTAAATATAAATATTCAAAAGGAAAAATATCATTATTGTCATTATTTTTAGCTGAAATGGCTACCATATCTAGGGAACCCAAGAGAGTTAATTGAAATCTTAATAACTGATGAATAATTTATTAAACTAAGTGGTTTCAAAATAAATATTATTCAGCGACCTTTCTATATTACAAAAATAGCTATGCAGAAATTTCAAAAAATGTTAATTTAATGCAGTCACAAAAATATTAGAGTAAAAAATAAATGGAAGATACACATAATGAATAGCCCAATAGAAGTGATAATGCAGGATATGCATGCCAGATTTGAAAACATTGTAATGCTGCAGTAATTAAAATAGTGTTAGACTCAAGCAATAGACTACATATATCAACAGGACAGAACTGAGGGAATTTAAAAGGAGACTTTAAATGAAAAATTTTACCTTTCAATGGGGAAAGTGAAGATTTTTAATAAATTTTATTTGGAAAATATATGAACAATGTGGAAAAAAGCTGTTTGACTCTTATGTTACAACCACAAAATAAATTTCAGATAGAATGAATGGCTTAATGTAAAAAAAAAAAATTAAATCCTAAGGCAGCTAAAAGAAAATATAAATGAATATATACCTATTTTTAAGAGAAAAGAGATTGATGATTTTTTAAAAAATTGAAAGGATACCATCAAAGAAGACAATAGATTTTACTAGGTAAAAAATTTAAAGTCTTATATGTGAAAAAAAATGTATATAAGCAAATGAAACTTTAAGCACCAAACTGTAAAAATTCATTTTTAAATATGTGACAAGTGGCTAATAGCCTTAATATTTAAAGAGCGATTACAAACCACTAAAACATATTTTAATTAAAAAAGGATAAAGAATATGAGCAAACGGAGAAAAATAAGTGACTGACAAACATATGGACAGAATATGTAATTCAAAGCAGGAAATGCAAATTAACCAAAAATGAGATTAAATAAAAGCTCAATACCATGAATAGGTAAAAGCCTGGAGAAACAATAGTGTAGACACTGATGGGAATATAAACTCAATGCTGGGTTGCAGTATATGTGACAAGCCTTAGTGCATTAAATTTACATTGTGTTATAATTAGAAAAATCAACTTTTAAAACGAAAGAGGTTAAGATAGACTCATTCAGAAGGAGGTGTACACGAATAGACTTGGTTGTTTTTGGGTTTAGAAAGTCATTCCCTCCATCCCAAGAACAGCTGTATATTCATCTGCTCTGTGCCAAATTCATTTAAATTTGTGTTGTCTTCATAATGATGCCAATACAGGAAGCTATTTACCTCTGGATATTTGCCCTCTGGCTAGAAAAATTATAATCAAATACATTTGGATGAGGGGAAAGCACATTAAATATGTAATTCCTGACCTGAAAAATAGAAATAATAGTAATCAACTAATAGGTGCACAGTTACACACACGTGACATACTGGGAGTAACTGGCTCAAGGCTCCTAGAGTTGCAGAAATGACATTGAAGTGTTCCAACATGAGCCTTACTTCCTGTCTTCTCTGTTCCTCCGCTCTGTTTTGCCGTCTCTCTTTTTCCTCCAAACCATATTCCTCCCAACACTCTAAGTATTCCAGACGTTTCTCTCTGGACCTCTAGCCGACAACTCTGCCTCAACAAGAAGCTGGAGTCCACAAGCTGGGGTTTCACTAGTATTCTAGCTGAGATCATGAAGGCAGTGGCCCCTGACCTACGGGCTGCACAAACCTTCGCTGCTCACGGGATGTGGGAAGCCCTCCACGTTCCTCACCCCAACGTTGAAGAGGTCGATTCAGGCAGAAACAGCACAGCGAGTACCCTGGGAACCCTTGGAATGTTTCCAGTTTGCTTGGTCCCTGCTTAGGTGATTGGGTGGGAAAGCCAAGTACATGTGCCCAAATCTTGTTTGTCAGTTGGTCTAAGGGGTTTGGGGCCTGTGTTTTTTTTCCTGCAGGGGAGTTTTGTTGCGTGCATGATTGCCATCCTGCGGCAGATGGATGACAGCCACTACACCCACTATATCAACATTTTCAAAACCAACCAAGACATCAGTGTAAGTTGTCTTCACTGAGTCCTGGTGACCTTCAGGATTCTTACATTCAGCAAAAACAGTAACCCAAACTGAGCACCAGGTGTCCAGGGGTCTCTCCCCATCCACCTTCATGCCAGCTCCTTTCATGCGGGGTCCACAGTGATGAAGAAAAGTATTGATTCTTTCTCTCTGCGATAGGATTTGAAGACGAGTATAATTTGTATACCCGGGGTCCTCACTCAACCCCCTGAGTTTCTTGGGCTTAAAGAGAGCTTTATTTAGAAACCTTTGGGAGATGTTTTTGCTCTCAAAAGAGGGTAGTGTCTTATTTTTAGGGACAATAGTTACTCCTGCCTGGCAAGGGTTTTAGGCAGAGGTGTGCAAGGTCTTCTGAGATGTGGTTGAAGGCATCATTTTCAGTAGTTCCTGGGAAGGGAGATAAGAGGTAATGCCTGCCCCTTATAACCCGTATATCTTCAGTTGAAAGTATTCCATTCCCTTGTTTTAAACAAGAAAATTGTTCTCAGAGTTACTATTCAGGGTATAAGCAAAGGTTACCTAAGGGGCTAAGCCAGGCCTCTGGCTGCCCCCAGAATTCTTCCCTTCAGGGATTTTTTAGTGGCTGGTAAATGTCCCTGATGGTATCATCTTGTAAGCAGTGAGCTGGACATGGATCTGGATTAGCAATTTGATGTCCCATGGCAGTGGTCTTTGCTCTCAATCACTTCCCATCGTCCATGCATGTTTCAGTCTTCTTTATGCTCTAGATTGTCTCCTTTCTGGATGGTCCATGGCCATTGCACACAAGGACACCCAGCTCCTTTCATGCCAGTCACCCTCCATTTAGTGAGGTCCCATGATGGAAAAACACAGGGAATTGGAGAAAAACGACTGCTTAGTAGTATTTAGTAGTTGGCCCAGTCATGAACTCTCTGAATGCTGTATTGGACCATGTGGCTTAATCTGGAGGCCTACTTGGGCCTCTACTCAGGCCATGCTCTGGCAGGCAGTGTGGCACAGGACCCACAGCAATGAGGAGGCGTGCCTGCGAGACCAGGTGCATGAGAATTAGGAAGGGAGGGGGGAGGGGAGAGATGGAAGCTTCCGGTAGGGAAGCATTGTTTCTCCTCCATAGGCAGATGGTGTAGTAGATTTAAGAACCCAGATCTGGGTTTGAGTTCTGGCTCTTCCACTTCCTACGAAATTTTAGGCAAGCTATTTAACTTCATTAACCTCAGTTTTCTCATCTGTAAGGCAGTACACAGTACCTACTTTGAGGGGTATTGTGATTTGAGTATTGATTGAATCGATGCATAGAAAATGACTAGCTTTGTGCTTGACATGTAGTTAATGGCCTTGGAAGATGAGCTATTTATAACAATCTTATTACTATTATGATGTAATTTAAAATTAATATAGAAATAGTTTAGTGACTTTTTAAAAAGTTCCTTCAGAAAACAAGTAGAATAGTGGAAGTTATACTAAATTCAAACTCTTGACAATTTGGCTCCATTAAGTAAGCAAAAAACAAAAGTTTTAACTCGTATTTTCTAAAACAAGGGTGAGCTCTTCCCCCTCTATTATTTGATTAAAAAGAAGATTATCCCCATGGGGAATTGTAGTCATTGGTGGAGGGCTATGTTGCACACCTAGATCTTCTGACTTTTAGTAGATTGCCTCCCCACTCCTGCTGCCTTCTGAATGAATCACTTGAAAGCCTGGGAAGTGGTAGATAAAAGGAGGGTTTGGTCAAACAGCTGTTTTACTTAAAAGGGGGCTATGAGCAAAAGGAATTGAGAATTGCCTTCATTATGCGATCACTGTTTACCCTTAACTTAGCTTACCAAGAGTTCATTGTGGAGTCCTTGGCATCCAAATCTAATCCTTGTTCACAAACCATGAATTCTTGTTGAATTGAGGGAAAAGATTAATAGAATAGTTAATGAATTGGTAGGAACACTTAAAATCTGATGAAAAATGTTAAGAGGCATGAAATATGTCTATGATTTCAGAATTGAAGAAAGCAAAGTTTGACTCTCATTGAACCGAAGGGAAGATTCAGGGGCATCACAGATTTTCCAGCCAGAGTTGCCCTCACTCCCATGCTGTTTGGCATCCAAAGTGCAGGGAGTTAACCACCTTGACCAGTGTCCCAAGGAGTACAGTTCGAAATAGAGCCCGGGCCTCCTGCCCCCCACGCCCTGTGTTCTTTCTGCTACATGGTGTGATTCATAAGATAGAACTGCGTTGGTTCGGTGTTAGAGAAATTGGACAGGGTTTCCATTTCAGGAATCCGAGTGGAAAATGTCTAAATTTAACTAGCTAATAAATAAAAAGGCTTTTCAAAGTTTTTAGCTTTGGTTTTTAGCTCAGTTGTTCTGTGTTCCTTTTTGCTCAAAGCCCCCCCCCCCTTTTGAGTAAAACCACTGTTTGGCCAATATTGGACTTTGATTATCAGTTATTACGGTCATCATGATCCACTGCTGGAATCTCTTTTAAGGACCAGTTAGGACCCTTCTCCCAGGCTTCATGTGGCTGCCTTCCTGGAATAGGAAGAACCCTGACTTTGCTTCTTATTTATAGCATGTTTGTTCTGTTCTAACAATAATAAAGGAAAATTGGATTCAGTCATTTGAAATATCAGTTTTCCAACAATTGTTGGTTAATTTGTTTTAAATGCAATAGACCTATTCAGACAGCACTTGACTTTAAACAGAGAGTTCAGAACCCCAAGTTTTTCCCTCAGCTTTTCTTCTAGTTTCTACAACTTTGAGCAAGTTGTTTAATTTTTCACAGCCTGTTTTATCATTTGTAAAATGTGGGCAGTTTTTTCATCGGAGTATATGGTGTAAGAATCAAATCATACGATAGCTGTAAAATGCTTGCTATCCCCAAAACCTTATTAAAAAGCTAAGCTGTCGGTGAGGGACTAGGGACGTCTTACTCTGGTGCAGTTTTCTTCTTGTCCACATGCCGAGGACGGCTTATGACATGTAGCCCAGTTTTCCTCCAGCCATTCCTTCGTTCTTTGCAGGACTTCCTCATGGAAACTTTTATCATGTTTAAGGATCTGATTGGAAAGAATGTTTATGCCAAAGACTGGATGGTCATGAATATGACTCAGAGCAGGTAAGCCCGCCCGGGCAGGCCCGGGGCATTTGACTCTGAATACTGCTGACCCTTGAGCAACATGGGCTGACCTGTGAGGATCCACCTATATGGATTTCTTTCAATAAACACAGTAAATGTATTTTCTTTTCCTTATATTTTTAAAATAATATTGCCTTGCTCTAGCATACTTTATTGTAATACTACAGTACATGATACATGTAACATACAAAATGTGAGTTAATTAACTATTTATGTTATCAGTAAAGCTTCCAGTCAGTAGTAGACTATTAATATAATCAGCCCTCTGCATCCACGATTCCCAACTTCAGATTGAAAACACTATTTTTGACCCACAGTTAGTTGAATCCGCCAGTGTGAAACCCGAGGGTACAAAGGACTGACTGTAGTTAAGTTTTGGGGGAGTAAAAAATTATATGAGGATTTCTGACTGCACCGGGGGTCAGTGCCCCTAACCCCTGCGTTGTTCAGGGGTCACTGCACTTGGGCCTGGTAATAGCTCTCTGACTTTTGTGAAGGCCTGTGAAATCCTTTGCCTCAAATCCACCATCTGTAAAGCAAGGCTCCTCCCACTTCCACGAGCCTGGTTTGTGTGCTCATGTTCCTGATTTCACCGGCTGCTGCTGTTGCTCTGACCCTGCTCTCTACCCCCTTCTCTCTACTGTAGTCTCCTCACCGAGTCGTCAGCATCAACTCTCCATGGCACCTGCCAGCGGCTCCATATGGCCTTCGTCATTCTGATGGTCAAAGACGGCATCCTGGCCCTGCCTGCTTTTCTAGCCTTACCTTCCACTCTTCCCTCTATCTCCAAGCTGCGCTCCAGCCAAACTGGCCGCTTCCCAGCCCCTGAGCGTCTTCTGTCCTTCCCTTCACGCTGCTCTGCCACCTGCCTCACCTCCTCCTCACCTCTGGCTGTCACCCTGCCACTTACTCCTTCAGGTCCTTCTCAGGTGGCATCTGTGAAGGGAGCCTTTCTGACCTGGATGTCATCCTCTCTTCCTTTGGTTTCCCAAACCTCTTTACCCCCTCATTGAATTTTTCATATTTTTTCTTGGGTCAAATGGCAAATGGCCCCCACCAAGGTTTAAATGTCATAAGACGAGGAACAGTCTCTTTCAAAGCAAAACCTAAGCCAGCGCTTTGTAGATTCTGGCCCACAATAAATACTTTTGAATGGAAGTGAAATGAACTAAATACATATGTTCTATTAAAGGAGCTTCAGAATTTTTAAAGAGGTAGATAAAGTAAATCATTATTCTCACCATTATTGTTAGCTCTACAAGGTCCTCATACCTGACTAGAAAAGCCCTTCCCTTCTCTATGCAGATAGAGAAACATTGCATAGACTTTGGATCAGGAGCAGCATGATAGAGTGCAGAGCGTCTCGGGAGGCCTGGCTTGTCCCAGCTCTGCCCTCGGGCTAAATTGAGATGCAGCCTTGAATGGGGCTTGTAGTCAGTTCCAGACACTGACCTTCAGTGTCCTCTGCAGGCGTGCTCTGTCACTGGTCTCTTAACGACCTCGTTGATCTAAAGGTCGTCTGTTGCCAAGTCCAGGTTTGCTTTACTTTGTTTTTAACATAGATGGGAAGTGTTGCAGTGAGCACGAAGGTGCCTTTCTTACCCTGTGTTTTCCTCCCCAAGGGTTTTCCTCCGCGCCATAAACCAGTTTGCTGAGGTTCTCACAAGGCGTTTCATGGATCAGGCAGGCTTTGAACTTCAGGTAAGCCTGCTACGTACCTAGGAGTTCCTTGGATTCTCAGCCAAAGCAAGAGAACCAGCTCATTTTGGGAAATGTCACCTCAGATTTTCTCATTTTCAAATGAAAAAGTTTTCTTGTCCTTTGTCCTTTCCTAAAGCACACATTTTTGTTCCTCTGTCCTCCAAACATAGTCAAACAGGGTTTTTTCTTCTTTCTGTAAAACTAATACATGTTTAAAAAAAATAATGGTAGAAAATATAACTGAGCAAAAAGACGGAAATTGAAAGACTGTCTTCTGCTGTTAACATAACCTATGTGCTCTGCCTACAGATGGTTCAGTTTCTAAAGAGTGGTTTGTATACACACTTGGTTGAAAGTCCACAAAGTGATAACCAAACAGGTGGTCACTGGCTGCACCTTCATTCATTCATTCATTCATTCATCAACAAATATTAGAATATTTACATGTTCATGGCCTGTTCTAGGCCCCAGTGAAGGCACTCAGGGCCCTGCTCTCATGGAGCTTATGTGCCAGCCTATGCTCTGTTGGTGACGTGCTCTGCTGAGTCGTGTCTTTGTATCTGTGGAATGTTAAAAGTGGGGAGTCATAAGTATACATGTAGATGTGTGTATGTATATATGTGTATGCATATCTGTACATATGTATTTGTATGTATGTGCCAAAATGTAATTGAGCTGTGCAGTTCTTTGATAACCTCTATTAATCTACTTTATTTACTTTTTCTTTGATCTTCTTGATGATAGTAAATATTTTTGCAATATTTTTAATGGCTGATACAGTCCATTGTCTGGCTACTCCATGATTTATTTAGCCATATTCTCATGAACATTTAGATTGTTTCCATTTTCTGTTAGCTTAAATAGCACTTGGAGGGCCTTCCTTGTTCTCAGTATTTTTAAATAGCCATGATTTATTTTGCCAGGATAAAGTCCTGAAGTATTTACTGCTTCAAAAGTTTGGCAGAATGTTAGGGCTTTTCATACATGTTGCCAGACCATTTACTATAAATAGGTATGCTTCTTGGCAGCAGCTTGCCTTTATCCCAGGAGTATAGACAAATATAATAGTTTGGATTTTTTTAAATTAATATTAACATGTTAATATTAATATTGCATTAAAAATTTCAGAGCAGAATAATTGAAACACAAGAAAGTAAAAGAAGTCTTGTGGATTTCTTAAAATTAATCCCTGGCAAGTGACTTGCTCCATATGGCACTATTTGGTGATGACCCTTATTAATGTTATTTTCCTTTTCTTCTCGCCCACACAATTAATTTTGAACAGCTCTGGAACAATTACTTCCATTTGGCAGTGGCGTTTCTCACCCACGAGTCCCTTCAGCTTGAAACCTTCTCTCAAGCCAAGCGCACCAAAATTATGAAAAAGTAAGTTTCCTCTCAAACTTGCTTAAGATTAGGTAGGTGATATTTTCCATTTCAAAACAAGATTTTGGGTATCACAGATATCACTGTCCACTGGGTGCCATGTTGTTAGAGAGGTAGCTTTTATAAGTATTTCATCGATTTCCCCAGAATCACCTCTTTTCCCAAGGCCCCATTCATTTTCCCATCACCCATCACATTCTCTGGGAACAGCTGGCCCTCTGCTGGCAGCTTGTCCAAATTGCAGGCACAGTGCCTCTTCCTCCCTCGTTAGTGCTTCACAAAGCAGGCTCCTCTGTGCCTCTCAGTAGTCCTTTGGGCACAGAAGCCGAGTCTGACACGTCACCTAAACAGGCCCTGCAGATTCCTGCTCGGAATTCAAAGTGGACTCACGCATGAGAGTGATGGGCGCTCAGGGAAGCTTTGCATTGCTTTCGTCTCGGGTCTGTTTCGGAATTCGAGAGCCTGGAAACTCCAAGGCTGTGCGGTTAGGAAGAACTTGAGGAATTTATCATTTAAAGGCTGTGAAATTTCAGCTCTGCTCCCCCTTCTGGAACGTCTGGCATTCTAGACAAATTATTTAGCACCTCTGCCTCTGGTTCCTCCCGAAAACATCGGCTGTTAGTGGCTCAGAGTGGGAGACATAGTGATTGTGTGTTCAAAGGTAAAAGTAAAACTTGTAGATTTCTTTGTGAGGTGGGTATCAAAAGATGATAGATTTTTAAGATGGACACCTGAATCTCACTCTTTAGAATATCTTAAGTGACAGTTTCTTTCAAGGAGAGATTTGATTTTGGTTGGATAACCGTAAGTGAAGTTTTTATACTGGCTTCTGAAGGCATCTCCAAAGGAGGAATTTGACAAACGTTTGGCACAATAGTCACATGAGTAGAAAAAAATGTAGAGCTGAGCTTATAGGATGGTCGTAGGTCCATGTGGAGCTCCCTGAGAACGTTTGCAGTATCTGCTTTGACCCTCCTGCTTCTGGTTTTCCAAGCCCCAGCCTCTGATCTGGCGTGTGGGGAGGGGTAGCCAGGCATATGTATTCTTCAAGAGAGTTCTAGGTCATTCTTAGTCACTTCCCCCAAGAACCACTGTCTAGATCAGGGTTTCTCACTTTTATGTCCCCACTATCAACTCCTATAAGTAACCTTTTTAGAAATTGTTTTTCTAATCACACCTAAGGAATATTAACCCAATAAATATATGCATATCTGTTTATATACCACTTGTATACCTGTACTTTATTCATGAAAACAGCAGGCTTTTTTGCCCCCAAGAACCAATTTTCACCCCTTCGGGAGCAATATCCCCCCATGGAGAATGTATGTCCAGAGTTTCCCAATGTGGTATGAGACATGGTTACTCAGATATAAGTGTATACGTTCAGCATGGTTGTTAGCCACCAGTCCCATTACTATACAAACTATACCCCCCTTTCCTTCCCAATAGTATTTCTGTTTTTCATTTCTTTGCTTAACAGCAGCCAGATTGTTTCTCGCTCTGCCCCCTTAAGCCAGCTTGTCAGCCTCGTCTTCTCAGTTACCTTCCAGTGCTTGCGTTGGCCCCTCCTGCTGTGGAAGGTGCCCCCCCTCGGGGCTTGGTTAGGTATCAAAACCCGCCTTTCACGTGACCTAGCGGAACACAGGCTATAGGTACTCGTTTATTATAGGTACTCATTTTCACTGCAAATCATTCTCTTGCCTATGGTCTTCTTCCTAGATATGGGGACATGAGAAAGGAAATCGGCTTTAGGATCCGGGACATGTGGTATAACCTAGGTGAGTGTATGACCTTGAATGAGCCCATGCACACACCTGTGTGATGAGCATGCCAGGATGGACTCTTTTTATTTTAACTCCGATAACCCTAAGATTAATTTGTCTGTGTGTTGGAACTGAATGTTGACTCTGGTTCTCTTGTTATGACATCCACCTGTTGTCAGAATACAGTATGTAGTCACCCAGGTCTGAATGGAGTTGATCTACCCACATAAACGTACTCTTTTCTCACGGGCCCTTGGAGGAAGATTGTAACACTTTACCTCCAGTGAAATTATTTTTATTTTCTTACTTTCATTTCAGGTCCCCACAAAATTAAATTCATCCCGTCCATGGTGGGTCCCATTCTGGAGGTCACATTGACCCCTGAAGTAGAGCTTCGCAAAGCCACCATCCCCATTTTCTTTGATATGATGCAGTGTGAGTTCAATTTCAGTGGAAATGGCAATTTCCATATGGTAAGAGGTGTAGACCTATAATTTTACTAATGAACTTAGTCAGCTCTTATTTATTTTCTTTCTATATAGAGAAGCCATAGCCTGAATAATACTAAACAAAGTAGGTCTACAAATGTTCTTTTACATTTCACTTTGTAAGGCATTTAGAGATAGAAGCAGATATTCCATCCCAGGCTGGCCTCAAAGCAGTCTTTTTGCTACAGGAGTTTCCTAAAGCAGCCTCTATCCTTTATAATAAAAGGCTAATATGCAAATTGTCCCCTCCGGAGTTCGACCACTCAGGAGTTGGACCACCCACTATGACGTTCGCTGACCACCAGGGGGTGGTGCAGAACAAAGGAAAGCCCTGGCCGGCAGCCAGAGGAAGGAAGACCCCGATCAGCTGGCCAGGCCTAGGGACACTACCTGTGCACGAATTTCATACCCCAGGCCACTAGTCTCCAGATAATTAAAATTGGACTTCGGGCACATCAATCCTATTTGCTGCAGCACAGCAGAGAGAGTAAGGAGGTGAAATGGGAGGATGATGCAGCAGTCTCTAGTTTAGTGATCTCAGTGTGCCTGATATATTTTCTCTTTCTTTTATTTTCTTTACCTACACCACGTATTAATATCGAAAGGAAGATTTTGCAACTCTACAGCTCTGCAAAATCAGAAAAAAAGCAATCCCATTGTCAAGGCTAAGACAAGAACCAAAAACAAAATAGAAAATTAGAATCATTAGGCTATATTTACCTGCATAGTTGTGATAAGAAAATAATGTTTTGGGTAATTATTTTGTGCAAATGTAAAGCAAAGGGTAAAGTAGCATGTGGCTACATTAGAAAGTTTTGATGGGGCCTCGGTGTGCCGTAATGGACGATGTGCCAAGTGGTCTTCCTCTGTATACGCTGGAAATAATTCACAGTTAAAAGGGGGCTGGGCAGGTCTGCAAAGGATGGCCGGGCATCACTCCTGTCCTCTCCAAAGGGTATGACATCTGTGAAATTCTGACTCTGCTTTCAGTTTGAGAATGAGCTGATCACAAGGCTGGACCAAGAGGTGGAAGGGGGCAAAGGAGATGAGCAGTACAAGGTCCTTCTCGAAAAGCTGTGAGTATTTCAGACAGCAAATCTCAAGCTGATGACATCATTTAGGAGTGGACAAAACAGGTTTCCACGCACTTACAAACCCACTGATAGTCACAGAATCGTTGGGGTTACCACTCCAGTTGGTTCTCTGTGGGGTCAATGATACTTGCTTAACTGACATGAGCCCAATGCCCATATTCCCCTGGCCAGCTGGGCCATCAAGAACAGAGCAGGCGGAGGGAGGGAGAGATGTTCAAAGCATTTTGCCCAGTGTTTGAATTGATGAACTTCATCAACAGTGATAACACCTCTAATTATGGCTTCAAATCAACAATTTCAAAGATGGGGAGAAAAAGAAAACATTTCAAAGTTCACTTTTCATTTTAAAATACCCTGTTCCCTGCTCTGGTCCGTGTGGCTCAGTTGGTTGAGTGTCATCCCATGCACCAAGAGGTCGCCAGTTCTATTCCTGGTCAGGGCACAAGCCTGGCCTTCAGGCAGAATCCCTAGTAGGGGGCGTGCAGGAGGCAGCTCATAGATGTTTCTCTCTCTCTCTCTCTCTCTCTCTCTCTCTCTCTCTCTCTTCCCCTCTCCCTCTCCCTCTCCCCCATCTCTTTTTAAAATCAATAAAAATATATTTTAAAAAATAAAATACCCTATGCCCTTAAAGGGCCTCTAAGAACACCAGTAATATCTCCAGCCAGGTTGGTCTTTTCACTGCCCAGAATCCAACATTCATTCCCGCTCTGTGCTCACATTACCATTCCTACTCCCCACCCACCCACGTCCCCAGAGACCTTTACCCTCCCTCTCTTGCCCTCTTAACTGTCCATCTCATGTAGGAATTACAGTATAAAAAGAATGATTTAAACAATTGCATGTTGGAAATAGAGAGAGATTGGGTTTCAAATCCTGCTTCTCTACATTCTAGGAGTTTGACTTTGGACAAGTCACATAACCTATCCAATGCCTCATTTTTCCCCTCTGCAATAATAGGACCTATATTTTGGTGTTGTTGTGAGGATGAATCGAGATAATGCATTTTCACAGTGTCTGTTACAGATTTCTCGCTAACATATGTTGGCTGCTCTGGGTTTTTGCTGATTACTATTATCTTATCCTTCCATCATCCAGGGCTGTAACTATTCTAGACTATTTAAGTCTTGTGTTCTCTGAACTTTTATGATATTGACCAGCTGGTGGGAGGTGTGCCTGGGTCATTTCGTTATTCACCTGTTTGGGGGAGTGTTGCTCACTAGACTGTACTTGAGGACAAGTCTCCCAACTTTGTTTGGTCTTGTTTTTAAAGATTTTTTTTAAGGAACCAGCACACTGGGTACTCAGAAATGAATTGATGACTCATCTGTATTTTAAAGAACCAGAAGTCCTTCTTATATTGTTTTTAATAGCTAATAAGATCATTTGTTGATCTTTTTATCCTGTTTCTCTTAGATCTGCCTATTCAAACTGGTTTTAAACCTCCCAGCTTTTTACTTTTACAATTCTAATCTCATACAGGAATTAAAATGCAGAAATTACACACACATTCAAACAGACCCAAAATATTTACAAATGTGAACTCATTTTTTAGTCCTATAGCTGATTTTTCACATAAAATATCTTATTTTGTTGTTGTTGTTTTCATTCTTCCTGGATCACTGCCTCAGAAAAATATGGCCACATAAATCTCCAGTGCCCAAGAATAATTCTAGATCCAGACTAGTTCTTTGAACACATCTTCCTCTTCTTTTTCTCTTGCTCCCAAGTTTTCTTCTAATTCTCTAATCTAAGAAGCTCCTATAAAAATCTTTGCTCTATAGGGGTCCAAAGAAAGAGGATTTAATCCCAGTCTTATTTCCAACCTTCTCTTTTTTTCTGAAAATAACACTGTATCTGAAGAGCCACATGTCTGGGTTTATGCTAGATTCCCAGGTTCCTCTAGGCTGGGCATTCACACACAGCTCACCAGAATGCCCACAGGATGCCCTGAAGTGCCAGGCTTTAGGGAGAATAAAGACAGGAAAGATGATTTCTTTCAACCTGAGTAGAGTGATCAGAAAACATACACAAACCTTTTGGGCAAAGGTTCTTGTTTTTGTGATATTGACAAGAAAACAAAAACCAACAAAAAATACAGTTGCAAATTCAAAGAAGAGCACTGTGGGCTGGGATTCTAGGTGATGGTGGGGCTTGAGCTGAAGCTCTAAAGAAACTATGGAACTGGAGTAATTGTGTTACGTGAAGGGTGTGTGTCTCCTCGTCTGGCGCCACCTGCTGCTAGGACCTTGGACAGCGCTCATAAATGGTGCTGGAGTGACAGGATGACATGGGCATTTGTCTCAACTCCACCCTCCAGGCTCCTAGAACATTTCCGGAAACATAAATACCTCTCCAGCTCAGGAGAATCATTCGCGCTCCTGGTCAGCAGCCTCCTCGAGAACCTCTTGGACTACAGGACCATCGTCATGCATGATGAGAGCAAGGAAAACCGGATGAGCTGCACTGTCAATGTGCTGGTAGGTGCCAAGCCTCTAGGATGGCGGGAGGGCTCTGCAGGCCTCCCCTGCACCATGCACATCAGCTCCAAGTCGATCTCACAGACACAAAGGGACCCGGGGCCACCTTTATGAAGTCTGTTCTGCTGAGTGTAATGGGAACAGCCACCTCAACTTTGGGCTTGCAGATACCAGCAGCCACAGACATTGAGGATAAATTTGGAAACAGGGTTGGAAAATGCAGCAGAAGATCTTAACTCGGCTCTCTTTCTGAGGGCCATCCTCAACTGGTTTCTCTGCCTTGTTTACATGTCGTTGCTTTATTGTTGGAATTCCTGGGCACAGGCGAACATGCGTGAGACACACTGTACCATGAGTAGAGTGTTAGTGCCTGGAAACCTCATGATGCTAGAATTCTTTGGTCTCGCCTTTCCCTAGATGTATGTATCAGGGACCTCAGACCTCAGAGGTTTGGGCTGCCACGCCTCTGCTTACTGTAAACCCAGACCCGCTGCCTGTTTCCGTGAGAAAGCAGAGCACCAGGTGACGAGGAAAAGCCAGCTACCTGTTCCTTTAGAAGAGGGTAGGGCACCTTTTCTCTGCCAAGGGCCATTTGGATCTTTATAACATCATTTTCAGGCCATACAAAACTATCATCCTAAAATTAGCCTGCTATATGTGGTCAAACATTTAATTAACTCACCCCTAATGCCTTGGCAGGGCCAGACCACATGACTTCGTGGGCCTTATAAGGCCCAAGGGCTGGAAGTTGCCCACCCCTGATTTAGAAGGTTCCCCTCCAGTTACTCAGAAACACGGTTCTAAACAATCCTTCAACTTGTCTTCTGTGTAAACTGTCACATCCTTTCCTTGTGGGGGTATTTGTTAAAAGAAAATAATAAACTCTGGAGAAGTGACACTGTTGAAAAACAAAAGTAGCTATTTGGCCATTTCCATGGCAAATTAGTCAATAACTCTTGATTTACATTGGTATTTTGGACTTTTTAATAGAATTTTTATAAAGAAAAGAAGAGAGAAGACATATACATAAGGTAAGCTGAAGGGAATGTCTGCTTTTTCTGTTTATGTCATGGCTTTGCTATTTATTTTTTCAGTCAACAAATACTAAACCCCAACCCCATGCTTGCTGCTTTGAGACACCAAAACGTATGTGATGTTCCCCCTTCCACTTGGAAGGGTAAACTGTTTAAACCAGTGATGGCGAACCTTTTGAGCTCAGCGTGTCAGCATTTTGAAAAACCCTAACTTAACTCTGGTGCCGTGTCACATATAGAAATTTTTTGATATTTGCAACCATAGAAAAACAAAGATTTATATTTTTGCCATTTAACAAAGAAAAATCAACCAAAAAAATGAGTTCGCATGTCACCTCTGACACGCGTGTCTTAGGTTCGCCATCACTGGTTTAAACAGATACACAGTAAGTGCAGTTCAAGGGAGTGCGTAGGGAGGATGGTGTTGTGGTCCCAGGGAAGGGTGGGAGATGCTGGCCAAGGCCATCAGGAAAGTCTGCCCAGGGAGAGGCATGAGGATTTGCCTGGAATCCTGAGCATGGAACACACTTGGACATATTCATATGCCTTTTCTTGGGGGAGATCCCATAGCTCTTATTAGCTTCTCAAAGGGGTCCATGGTATACAGATAAATAAGTAAACACTACTGCCTTCAATGAACAGTTTAAAGTAGAGTGGATGGATTAGGAAAGACACACAGGCAGGAAGCAGCTCCCAGGGTTAAAGGAATAGGAAGATAGAATGCAAGGGATTCCTTTGCCCAAGAGAAAGGACGAGCGGGGGAAGAGATGGGAAAGCAGGCTGCGGCTTGGTTGTGGAATGAGCTGAATGCTAGAGCAGCTCCCCGGCGACTAAATGCCCCCTTTACCCAGCCAGTGTTGCTCAGTGGTTGAGCCTTGACCCAGGCCACAGTTCAATTCCAGGTCAGGACACATGCCCAGGTTGCTGGTTCGATCCCCAGTAGGGTACGTGCAGGAGGCAGCCTATCAATGATGTTCTTCTCTCATCAATGTTTCTACCCTTCTATCTCCTCTCCCTTCTCTCTTTAAAAATCAATAAAAACATTTAAAACAAACAAACATAAAAACACCCCCTTCTTACCAGATACTTGTACAAGCTGCGGGATTTGCACCGAGACTGTGAGAACTACACGGAGGCTGCCTACACGCTGCTCTTACACGCTGAGCTTCTACAGGTGAGTGGTCTGGGCTGCTCATTCCAACACAGTGCAGGACAAAACGCAGCGTGTCCGCTGTCCAGTCCTTTGGGACCAAATCATATACATTTCGTGATTTTGATTGGAATGATCCTTATTCAAGAGAGAGCCTTTCATCCAAGAATATTTTTAAACTTTCTAATTAGGCACAGCTGATTTTCAGATCAAGGTCGAGAAAATGTCAGCTATCATTGGATGAATGCATAAAGAAGTGATTCCACTGATTTTAAAATCCTTAGGAAGCAGAGTAGAACCTATAGGTCCCTAGTAATTAACACTATAATTGAAGAAACAAACATTCATCAATTAAGAAATATAAAAATAAATGTAAAACTACAGATACATGAGTTGTAAGTAAATACAGTGCCACAGAAGAAGTTTTGTCTTTATACTCACTCAGTAAGTAAATTTATAGTGTGTTGTGGATATAAATACATCTATACGTCATGGATCTCAAATAATTATTTCTGGCTCTGACCGTTCCTCCAAGGTCAGATGCAGGAATAAACTGTTCTTTCAGCATCAATCTTTCAATGACTCATAGACAGCACACACTTCACCTGTCAGTAACAGAAGCTATAATTTCTCACTGTTCTGGATCCATTCCTTCCTCGCCCTTCTTCCCATTTTACTAAAGGGGACCACCTTCCACCCAGTTGCTCAGGCAAGTACCTGTTGTCATCTTTTATTCACCCCCCTCCCACATTTTCCACCAGCAAGAACTGTGGACCCTCTGTCCACAGTTTTAAAAAAAGCTCTCCACTTTTTAAAAGTTGTGATATAGTTGACATATAACACTGTGTACATTTAAGGTGCACGTGTTGATTTGATACGTTTATATATTGCAATATGATTACCACCGTAGCTAACACCTCTATCGTGTCACATAATTATCACTTATTTTTTGTGGTGGGAACAATTAAGATATAGTCTCCTGACAACCTTGAAGTCTATAATACAGTATTGTTGTCTGTAGTCACTGTGCTGTGTGTTAGATCTTCAGTACTTGTTTATCTACTGGCTACAATTTGTAACATTAAACTGCATCTCCCCAATATCCCCCTCCCCAGTCCTGGTAACCACCATTCTACATTCTGTTTTCATAAATTTGGCTTAATTAATCAATTTATTTTTAAATATATTTTTACTAGAGGCCTGATGCACAAAATTTGTGCAAGAGTAGGCCTTCCTTCCCCTGGCTGCCGGCACTGGCTTCCCTCTGGCACCCAGGACCCCTTCTTCCCTCGAAGCCCCGGCTTCATCTGGAAGGATGTCCGGTCTAATTAGCATATTATGCTTTTATTATTATAGATTGATTTTAGAGAGGAAGGAAGAGGGAGAGAGAGATGGAATCATCAATGATGAGAATCATTGATCGGCTGCCTCCTGCATGCCCCCTACTGGGGACCAAGCCCACAACCCGGGCATGTGCCTGACCGGGAATCAAACTGTGACCTCCTAGTTCATAGGTCAATGCTCAGCCAGTGAGCCACATCGGCCGGGCTAAATTTGACTTTTTTGGATTCCTTATCATACAGTACTTGTCGTTCTCTGTCTGACTTACTTTACTTAGCACAATGCCCTCTAGGTCCATCCATGTTGTAAAAGGCAGGATTTCCTTCTTTCTCGTGGCTGAGTAATTCCATTGTTATATGCACAACATCTTCTTTTTTCCATTTGTCCACTGATGGACACTTAGGTTGTTTCCATGTCTTGACTATTGTGAATAATGCTGCAATGAGCCTGGGAGTGCAGATCTCTCTTCATCCTGCTTCCATTTCTTTTCAATCCACTTTTTAAAAAATCTCCATTGCTGCCATCCTGGAGAACCACAGTAGCCTCCTGTTACATCTCTCTTTCTCCATTCTTTCCCCCAGCAATTAAATTTCTTGTGTAATTTAATATTTATTTTACCCTAAAATAGTACATGTACATTGTTCTAAGCTTTATAATGAAAAACAGGAGTCCTTTACCTCACACTTCCCCACGGCAGCCGTTCACCACTCATATGCAGATTTGAGGCACTAAAATCTTACTCTCTATGGGTTAGAGAGGAGGCTTGTTGACCGTGGGATGATCAGAAAGAAACCCTGGTGTCCGTAGCCGTAGATGTTTTTGTTTGTGCTGCTTGGAAAATTAAATTCTCCTATCCTGGCATAGTAAGGTATGGGATGTGGATACAACTTTTTCCCCCAGATAGCTACTCAATAGGGATGTGTAATATAGTCCATATTTTCTCATTCATACAAGATCCCCTCTTTATCATGTATTAAATCCCAGTATGGGGCGGGGAGAGTCTCTTTTTTGATTTTATATACTTTTGCATTGGTCTCTGTCAATTCATGTGTCAGTATACCACACTCTTAATTATTAATTCTTTTTAAAAAATATATTTTTATTGATTTCAGAGAGGAAGAGAGAGATAGAAACATCAATGATGAAAGAGAATCATTGATTAGCTGCCTCTTACATGCTCCCTACTGGGGATTGAGCCCACAATCCGGGCATGTGCCCTTGACTACAGTTGAACTCGGGACCCTTCAGTCCACAGGCCACCGCTCTAAACACTGAGCCAAACCAGCTAGGGCTATTAATTCTTTATAGTATGTTTTATTAGCTGGTAGTTAATAAAACTGTCTTCATTGCTCTTCTTTTTCAGAGTTTTCCACCTAGTTCTTTTTGTTTAGTTTTCCATACGGACTTTGGAATCATAAATTTAAAATTTTAATTTAGGGAGAATTTTCATGTTTAGGAAATAGCATTTTCTTATCCAAAACTATGATATGACTTTCCATTGTTCAAGTGTGCTTTTGTGCCCTCTGTGGTGGGTTAAATTTTTCTGTATAGAGTCTTTATTTTCCTTGTTAGGTTGATTCCTAGATACCTTTTCTTTTTAAGTTAGTTATGGTAAAAATACACATAACATAAAATTTACTATCTTAACCATTTATGTGTACAGTTCAGTGGCATTGAGTACATGCGCATCGCTGTGCCTGGATATTGTATCACTTTGGATTTATTCATGTTGGATCCTTTCCTTCTACTATCTCCAGCATGGTTATCTCTTCATGTGAAATCTATCTCTAAATTATTTCTAAATATGTCAGTTTTTTAACCCTCTAATTGACTTAATTCTCTGTACTTTTGGCAGTTTTTCAGTTGGCACCCTTTGTAAAAGCTTTGATTGTGAAGAATACAATCATTGTACACAGTGGCCATTTTACCCCCTCCTTTCCGCCTTTATACTCCCGATCTCTTCCTATTGTCTACTGTGCGGATGTCTGCAGTACACAGTGCACAGGCGCTGTGCTGGCTGGCGGGTGTGCCTGGTTCCCCACTCGCATGGGGATGCCTGGAGTGCGTCCATCACATGGCCCTTGTTTTCAAGCTGGCATAGATTATGTCTGTGGATGCAGTTTTTTGTTTCATGAATAAATCTAAAACACAATATGGATGAGTCACAGATATATGCGATGTTTCTGCACCTTTTAAAAACTAAATATTTGTTAACCTCCTTTAGTTAATGGCTACGTCACATTCATCTCTTCCGTTTGCTTTCCAGTGGTCTGACAAGCCCTGTGTGCCCCACCTCCTTCAGAGGGACAGCTACTATGTGTATACCCAGCAGGAGCTGAAGGAGAAGCTGTACCAGGAAATCATATCCTATTTTGACAAAGGCAAAGTGAGTGTGGGATCACTTGTTTTGTATTTGGGGGGAGAGGAAAATGGCAGCAAGGTCGCAGTGCCCTTCTGAAGCCGACCAGCCAGAGCCAGTGCAGAACCCACCGTGAAGGCCACGGTCCCAGCAGACAGCCCTTACTTCAGACGCTGCCGTTCAGGAGTCCCTACGCCCACATTTCTGACCACTTGGCTATAAATTTTGGGGGAGTCCCATGGCCCCCTCAGGTCTGATAATATGCTAGAACAGCAACCAAAACTTGGTAAAATGCTGCACTTATGATGACAGTTTTATCTTAAAGGACACAAGTCAGGGCCAACTGAATGAAGAAGTACATAGGGCAGAGCTTCTGTTTCCCTCTCCGTGGATTCAGAGCACATCACCCTCTAGGAGAGCTGATGTGCTCGCCAGGGGGGAGCTCACGTGAGCCGCTATATGGAGTTATTATCGGGGTTTTATTCTGTAGGCTTGATTGATGGAATCATTGGCCACGTGAGTGAACTCAGTCTCCATCCCACCCTTCTCCCTTTAGATCTGGTTAATATCATGTAGCCCAAGGCCCCAGCCCTCTAATCACATGGGTAGGTTTTTGTTCTTTTGTTTTTTTGGCAAGGGGCCCACCATTCACCTCAGTGGCATAAACTCAAGTGTGGTTAGAGGGTCTGCCATGAATAACCAAGACACTCCTGTCACTGGGGAAATTCCAAGGGTTTAGGAGCTTCCTCCCAGGACTAAGGACAAAAACCAGACAAGTTCCTCATTGGACAATAATGACTCATGACTTATTCTTTATTATTCCCATATGTACCTTTGAATCCTGGTATTTTTAACAAGAGAGAAAATAAATAAATAAATTAGTGTAAAAAGGGCAATAAAGATCAGTTATCTTGACACTTAACCAACCCAATGGAGAATACAATGGGCAGCCTTCACTTTCCAGAATCGGAATTTCCCCTCTTAAATATTGCTGAGGGTGGGAACCAGTGCCGTCACTTGCAGTGCATTCTCTAGAGATTGTTGGCTAACACCTGGTGCACATCCAGCATCCAGATCACGCCCTGCTGACACCATACCCTGTAAGTAATGACTAACTTAGATGCCGACGGGGGTGAGAAGGTAAAATAAACATAGGAACTGGGCCCGGAAGTTGTGGTCTGTGGTCAAGTGGAGAAAGTATATCCACCTGAAATGCTTTTACAAAATTTTTAAAAAAGAAAAAAAATATTAAAAAGGGGTTGGGAGAGAAAGAAAAAAAATGCATCTGCTATCCAAAAAAAACAGATCCCGATTTGACCAGTTTCGGAGCCTGGAGAATTCCTATGGGCCGCCACGTCCAGCCAACATGTCTTGCTTTACCAGGGGACCTGTTGGTTACATGAATAAATAAGCCACATAATCATCATGATAAAATAGCTGCCATCTACTTACTGCTAGTTTCTGTTTGGGGTGATTTCCAGACTTTTTTCCTGATTTAATTTTCCCCATACCCTACAAGGTAGATTTTACCTCTGTTTTACAGATGAAGAACTTAAGGCTCAGGGAGCAAGTGTATGTGTTCAAACATTTTGGTCTTCTACACCTCTTTACTCCTAAAAATCACTGAGGACCCCAAAGAGCTTTTGTTCATGAGGACTGTATCTGTTGCTACTTACACTTTTAGAAATGAAAACAACTTTTGAATATTTATTTGTTCTTTTAACAGTGATAGCAAGCCTATTACCAGTTAAGATAAATCACATCTGTTTTTGAAAAATTACTATATGTTCCAAAAAATTAGTGATATGTGTGGCATTTGACATTTTTGCAAGTCTCTTCAACATCTGGCTTAATAGAAGACAGCAGGATTCTCATGTCTACTTCCACATTCATTCTATTGTGGCATCACGCATCCTCCAGCCTCTGGGAAGCTCCACACATGAGAGAATGAGCAGTGGAAAACGGCAAATAGTATTAGTAAGAAGATAATTTGATCTCATGGATTCCTGCAAGGGTTTTGGGGGCTCCAGAGACCAGGGACCACACTTTGAGAACCACTGTGCTAGGCTATCTCACTGTCCCTTACATAACTTGGCATTTGGTGAAATGAGGAGAGAATTCGACCCACTGATGCTGTTGACTGGCTTCTTGCACCAGGCCCAGCCGATCTGGCCCTGAAACTTCAGAGGGACACATTTGGCAAATGATGATTTTAAAATATTTTAAAATGTTTTACAACTGTATGAGAACTGCACACACATTTCTTCAGCAGCCAGAAACAGTGGAAACATAGCACCTGGTTGACAAGAGAAAAGTAGGAAATTACCAGACGCTGTCTTACTGATAGTGTCCACTTAAGACATGTTATGAAAAAAACAGAATGAACAAGGGGTCAATCTGGGATGCTAGCCTCAGGCACCAAATGTGTGCTTTTGGCTGTAACTTACAAGATCATGAATGCTCCAAGGGATCTTCTAAAACTCTCTGACTAAGTAGATATTTTAGTTAGATATAGGAAACCAGTGCCCTAGAGATCATTGGCTAACACTTGGTGCCCAATTTCCACACAACAGAACAGTTAGCCTTTCTTCCACTTCCCTTCCTCCCAAACAATCTAACTGGAAGCGCGCACGTGTGTGCACGAACACACACACACACACACACACACACACACACACAGAACTCAACCCCATGCCAACTTCCCCTCCAGCAAGGCTCTCACAGTCTCAAGACCTAGGCTTTAGCACGGGTCCCCACCACTTTCAAAGGTCTTTAGTGCTCTGCCCTTTAAGTTCAGTATGGCTTTGTTTGGGGACACATGGTGTTTGTTCTTCATGGTCTTGCAAACAGAATTACGGAAGATACCCCCTGGCAAGGCACCAAGATATAATAGCTTTATGATGTCAATAAAAAATGTTCAGTTGATCCAGGAAGTGAGGCATGTCGGGAATATCTGCAGAAACTCAACCCTCCTGACTCCAGACTCATTGCCCGTTACTTTCAAGTGGCTTTTGCCGCTGGATCAATGACTACTTTGTTCTCCACTTTTCTTTTTCTGAAGATGTGGGAGAAGGCAATCAAGCTGAGCAAAGAGCTGGCGGAGACATATGAGAGCAAAGTGTTTGACTACGAGGGCCTTGGCAACCTCCTGGTGAGTCTGGGTTGGAACATGTCAAGCCTCCAGCAGGGGTGCTGAAGTGAGTGTTCGAGAAAATGTTTTGTAAGCTTAAAGGAAGTCAGGATAAATTATGTTCTTTTTTAAAAAAGATTTTTTTATTGATTTCAGAGAGGAAGGGAGAGGGAGAGAGAGAGAGTTAGAAACATTAATGATGGGAGAGAATCACTGATCACTGCCTCCTACACACCCTACACTGGGGATTGAGCCGTGACCTCCTGGTTTATAGGTTGACGCTCAACCACTGAGCCACGCCGGCCAGGCAGGTTAAATTATGTTCTTTACAATGGAAAAGTAAACCTTGCTTGACATAAAAATGAAAAAAGATAAGGTCCAAAAGCTCTTATCCTTCTTTCTCCACATTATCCCTGATAGAGGGCTCAGGCCCCTCGCCTACCACCGTCCTCCGTCTCTGTCTCGTTTCTCTGCAGACCGCCCATGTCTCCACACCTCTTTCCCCTCACGGTCACTTTGCTTTCAGTGAACACCAGGCGTGTTCCAGGTGTTTTCTGACTTCTGTTCATCAGGATGACTTGCTCTGTAGCCCACGCCCTCAGGTCCCTGCTGAAGGATGGAACTGCTCATCTCGGAGCCTTGCTTGGTTTTCTCAGGAGTGCCAATTGTGCACATTTTGGTTAAGTTGTAAAACGCTTCTGATTCTCACATCCTGCCTCCCCCGGTCTCCCGAATGTTACTGGAGAGCTCTACTTTCACAGGTCCCTGAACTGTGTATTACGCCTGGCTGTCAGCACAGGTCAGCTACTTAAAAACAATAAAGCAATGCCCAGTGGTAGGCCAACACAATATTAATTTGATCATTTTGGGTAGAGGAGTCACAACAGTTCAGGTCAGCCATTGTCATGCAGTAATAATTTATTTGAGGAGATAGTTGTCAAGATCACTTTGAAAAGTATTTGCCAGTGTGTTGTACCAGCCCCTGCCATTGCGCAAACAGTCATTAATTTCATAACTAAATTGAGTTATGTTAGTAATGTAACATGTGACCCTTCTAAGGGAACCTTGTGATGGAGACCTTTGCCTGGATAGAGCACAGCAGTCCTCCCTGCTCTGCATTCTCACTTTCGGTGGTTTCAGTTACCCACGGGCAACTGCAGTCTGAAATATTAAATGGAAACTTTCTGGGAAAAAGAAAAACAATTTATAAATTTTAAATTGCCCGCCATTCTGAGTATGGTGATGAAATCTCACATCATCCCACTGTATCCCACCTGGGATGTAAATCATCCCTCTGCCCAGCGCACCCACGCTGAGATGCTGCCTGCCCTTTATTCACTTAGTGGTTATCTGGGTTATGAAATCAGCTCTCAAGGTACCACAGTGCTTATGTTGAAATAACCCTTATTTTACTTAACGGCTCCAAAGCGCAAGCGTAGTGATATCCTGGCAATTGGGACATGTCAAAGAGAAGCTGTAAAGTGCCTCCTTTAAGTGAAAAGGTGAGTACAGACAGTATAAGGTATATTTAGAGGGAGAGGGAGAGAGAGACACAAAGACCAGATCCACATTACTTTTAAGATAGTATATTATAATTGTTATATTATACTATTTGTTATTGTTGTTAATCTCTTTCAGTGTCTAATTTATAAAGTAAACTATCATAGGTGTGTGTACGTATAGGATAAAACATAGTATATACAGGGTTCAGTACTATCTGCGGGTCAGGCATCCACTGGGGGTCTTGGAAGGTACCCCCTGCAGACCAGGGGCAGCTATGGTAACACAGTCATGGTGGCAGGGCTTGGAGCCACCCTTGGGCCCCTAGGTCTGCCTGCCTGCCTGTCTTTCTTTAAGGCTGATTCTGAGCTCGGGCTGGGAAGCCTCTCTGATAGGAAAAATTAAAGACAGGGGGCGGGGGGGAGGGGCGCCAGATATTGAAACACAGAACTTTATCTTCACCTCTGGGCACCTGGAGCTGAACCAAGGGCTTTCGCCGAAACCACCTGCACGAACTGGAAGGTTCTTTATCTTCTTCTATCATTTATCTGCACTCAACTGCAACCGCCTTCGTTAATCTCAGCTTGCTAGGGTCCTGAGCCCCCTTCAGGGAACTGTGAAAGCTAAGCAGTGCTTCCGCCATGGCGGAGTGCACCAGTTCATCCTCCTGCAGACAACTTCAGGGAACCCAGGCCTCCACGGCCCGGTCCTGGGCCCAGGTCCAAACCTCCTGTCCAACAAGAGGATAACGTTGTCTGGCAAGATATTTCCCAAAGACCTTTCATTTCTCTGTGTTACATGGAAAACAACAAAGTAAATAGATCTTTTTATTTTCTCCCCCCAACTGTGCCCTTGGTAACCTCGCTATGGAATGTCTTGTTTTGTTTTCCAGAAAAAAAGAGCCTCGTTCTATGAGAACATCATTAAGGCCATGAGGCCGCAGCCCGAATACTTTGCTGTGGGATACTACGGACAGGGCTTCCCTTCTTTCCTACGGGTAAGGAACCTGAGGGTGGTCTCCAAGCCATTAGCCTTGCAGCCTGAAGGAGGGAGGGCTTCCTCTCTTTTCCAGATGGGCCTGGGGTGCTGGCAGCCGGAGGCCCGTGTTCTCGCTGTGGGAGGTCGGCAGGGAAACCGCTTCCTGAGCGGCGGCCTCTTCACCCCACACCCGGCCACCTCTGGGATTTTGGCAGCTCTTTTGTAAAATGACCTTTCCCAGGTGGAATGAAAAGGGGAAAAACAGAACATCCTCCCTGGCTGCTGCTGCGGGTCAGGCCAGGGAAAAGTGCAGATTGATGCATTTGGTTGTTTATTTTATTTCCAGCCGGAGTGAGTTTGAAAGCAAATATCCCAAGGATAAGACTGCAAAAGTTTTGTAAAAATAAAAACAATCTTGTTGTAATGGTGAGAAAGGACTATGTTTTTCCCTTCTCAAAACTTTCCACAATGCGATGGTATTTTACAATCTAAAAAATAAACAAACCCTCTTATTTCTCCCACAAAGAAATAAGCTTCTTTCAGCAGCACTTAGCAATGTTTAAGCATATTGTCCATCTCCCTTCCCGTAATTGAAAGAAGAAGAAAAAGTGGGCAAGGACTTTACATTCTTCACAGTGTCTAACAAGGAGGTAGTTTATTCATTCATTCAAAACCTGTGGACTGAGTACCTGCTGTGTGCCAGGCCCAGGCTCAGCATTAGAGTTACAGGCTCGTTATAATTGGATATGGTCCTTGCTCTCTTAGAACTTTACAACCTAATATTTGAGATGTTAATTAGATAATCACATAAGCAAATATAACATTGACACTGACCAAGACAGGTATTCTGGGCTATATGAATTGGTTAACCAGAGACTAGTTACCCAAGTAAAATAAAAACCTACATTCACATAAAAATATAGTGGTGAAGGCCTGGGGTTGGGGCGGGGGGCAGTTGCAGAGT